CAACCCTTATTCGGCAGTCACTGCAGCAGCAAGCAATTTGACAAACTGAGCTGTACTGCCAATGACAATAACACTGAAGCTAAGTAGTTTTTAAGATGACTTTGTAATTTCAAATCAATAAGCACTTTCAAAATATTCTCCCTTATCTTCTTCTCCTTATAGGATTCTTGCAGACTGACATCTCTGGCTCTGATTTCTGCTCCAAGTAAGAACATACAGAGCATGCATACAGATATCAACAGTTTAAAAGTATGTTCTAAATTCAGTCAGTACAGCTAGATAACAGTGGGACTTTTTGCTTTACTACAGTTCAGGAATCAGACTTTCCACTTGAATCACACTGAAATCAGTACTTGAGACCAAACAGTAACAAACCTACCTTAAACCAAAAAGAGGCATGGTAAAAATGATGGCAATTTTCAGTAATCAATATAATGCCATTAGAAGAGCTTAATGGTCTAAACTGTGGTGTTTTAGATGGTTTGGGGTTTTTTGGGGGGGGGGGGGGTTGTTTCATTGGGGGTTTTTTTGTTTGTTTTTTGGGTTTTTTTTTTTTTTTTTACAAACTCATAAGCCTGAATACAAAATAAGTATAGAGCTTTTCATAAGGCATGTCAAATTCAGATGTTCCTAAAACATAAAAGACATCTTAAATCTGTCATATAACATCAGAGATGCAGTTCAACTGCAAAGTTCAACTTTCAGCATCATACAGAACTTAGGGTTGAAAATTCTGAATGTCTGGGCAATTCTATACAATCAAGTCTTCCTATCAATTTCAGCTGCATTTGGACAAGTTATACTTGCCATCCTCAAAGGTTTTTTTGCTTCCCCCCCATAGCTAATATATATAGAACTACGCAACTGTAATTAGCAATTTTCAGAAAGGTAAGAGACAATTATAAAACCCTTAAAGAGAAGGTATTATTAATGGTATTCAACATGCATCTCCACATACCTTTTCTGCTGCAACAGTGCTTTCTTAAGGGGTATCCTTCCTCAGCCACTACCCACCCCTCACCATGCCAGCACTACCATTCACTTGACTCTTGGTTGGATCACTGACACGGTATCAGTTAAAAATAGTTCTAGGACAAAAGTATTACTTGAAACCAGAAACAGTTTTTTGATGGGCACTGCAGAAGAAGCAAAGGAGAGGTGGGAATTACAGTCCCCCAGAGGCTGCAGCTGGCACAGCCTAGCAAAGCCACTTGAGAAAGCATAACATACAGTCTTTGCACTGCTTGCTCTGGGCTAAACCATCCTCCTCTGCAAGATGATCATTCGTCCTTAGACTTGGTGTCACTCGTCCAGTTCCTTATTTGTCAAAAGTAGAAAACTACTCAAAAGCTGCTCTTCTGTCCTTTCTGTTAATTGGAAGGTATAGCTTGCCAATGTGAAGGATCCATGAACTTTTTGTCTTCTATCTCAAGCTAACTATGCTACCATATGACTGCCTTCCAGTTCAGAGGGTTAGTCAAGCAAACCCTCTCTTCTTCTTAAGTCCCTTTAAGGACAGGGTAATACATAAACACAAGCTATAATTCTTTATTTTACAGCATAAGCATCTAGTGTGCCAAGTTTATCACTTATATTGCATTTTAATGGCTATCTCGTGATCTGTCAAAGAAAGGAAGGATGGAGAAAAAAACCCACAGGATGCAGAGAATGGCCTCATTTTTGGAAGATACACAACTGTAGTCTAGATACCTGTTCGCTTTTGTCATGTGTAAACACATTTCCTGCATGCAAGTGTAGATGGGCAGTGACCTTTGCTACTGTTCATTGTTCAAAAGGTTTTACAGTCCCCCAGGGGGACACAGAAGTGTTTTTGAAGTCATGCACAGCTTATTTCCTCTTGACTGCTGCTATGCAAAGACGTTAACTATTAAACATTTATCTCATATGATGTTACTTTAAAAGTCAATGCATTGACAAATTGAAAATATGAATGTGGGTGTATTATAAACCTAAGAGCACACAGTTGTTACAGATTATCCGGGAAAAACAGAAAATATTGATAAAACAACAAGCAACCCTAGATTTACAAAAACCTCTTTAAATACAGTGCTCTGTTTGTGAGGTCCTGGGATATTCAGTATATAACTAACTGAAACTCCATCCCCATGTTTAGAAAGGAGCCATATGTTCACTTTGTAAATGTCTGTGGCTGTTTAAACCTATACTGCATCAGAGATCGTTAGTGCACAGCAGGTGAAACTGAACTTGTGAACAATCATCAGTTATTTCAGTGCAAAGTCTGGCACCTTAGCATGAACGACTTGGCAGATTTAAGCTAAGCCATCTAACCTTGCACTGGAAAAGATACTTCTCCATTGTTGCTCTATATGAGCCACTACACTGGCTAAAGTCCCATGCCTTTGACAGCGCTCTCTTTAAACACCAGTTCACAGCTACAGGTCTTCGTCGTCCCCTGCAATTAAACTCCACATCCACAGGTTTTGTTTATTTTAGTGAAGGTCTACAACACCCAAGAGAGAATTATGTGGTTAAAAGCACAATCTGTGATAGGGAATTGATTTTTTGTTTGCTTCCAAGTTACTCTTTGAGAAAATAGTAAACATAAGCAATAGTGAATACTGCATACGTATTTGTACTGCACATCCTTCAAATAATGTGCTTTGTAACAGGCTAAAAAATTCTGCCTCAATTTTTCTCCATCAGACAGTCAGGAAGTCTAGAAATAATCCACCAAGACAGTAAGCTGAATAACAGTTATAGTGAGTTATTCAATAGTGATTGTTGTTTGATGGGTATTCTATTTGTCATAAAAGTTTCAAAATAGCACTAGTGGTTAAAGCAAAGGAAAAAGCCACAATCCTATTGAAATCACAAACTGTGACACCAGCCGCCTATCTAGTCTGCTAAGGACTAACTCTTCATTTTTCAGAGAATGGAAATGTCTTAAGAATTTAACATGACATGAAAGTTCATATACTTTGGAACCTTGAGGCTAAACCCCAGATTTTTAGACTAGTGCAAAAAAGCACATTAGAATATCTTTTGATGACATATAGCACAGATAATAGCTCAACTCAAAGTGTTTCCCATCAGCAGATCTCATAAAATCAGGAACCTCCTTAGTATTAAAAGGACAGAGTAATCATATTCGATCAAATCTATTCACCAATTTTATCTCTGTTTGTTCTCTTTCTGGTTTTGATCATTAAATAAAAGTACTATTCTTACTTTAATTCATGGAACCCTTCTCTTGTTTCTATTTCAGTCCTGAAATCTGGTATCTACGGTTAGACACAACACTGTAGTTAAGGCTAGTATAGTTTGTGTAAGGTCTCCTTTCCCTTCTCCCACTAATTAACACATTCTCAATTTAATTCACATTTTTTATCTCCAGCTGGTAAGAGCTGGTAAGATTTTTTTAAAGATTGAATTTGCAGTGTGAGCTGAAAGCACTATCAATATATTCAATGAAATAAGCTAAAGGTTTCAAGATTTTAAATGCAGAGCACAAAAATGCTTTCTACTAACATTTTAAAAACTTCAGTAGCAAAGCATTGGTATGATTTAAAGAAAATTAACTTTTCCACTGCTAGTCCATCCTCACACCAGCTGTGCCGCTGTGTTCCATTAACGCTACTGAAATCAATGCAGTGGTAGAAGAATTCAAGTAGCAGTCAAGTGGTTAATCAAAATGCAGCCCAGGGGACCACTAACAGCCCCCTTCAGCATTACTAATACAGCTTAGCACTGCAGTGGAAAATATTCACGTGTGGTCTTCCACACAGTCATTATGCTGC